TCTCGTCTCGCCGTCGCCGGAGGGCGCATTCCGGCAAAGCTCAGGTCGGCCCAAGGAAGGTGGCGGCAGGGCACTAGTTCCATGCTTGAGTGACGCGGAATTGAGCGCGAGCATGGGCGGCACGGGGCAGTTCAGGGTGTGGATGGGCGCCTGGTGCGGGGCGTGGGTGCGAGGCGCTGGGCCACAGCGAGGTGTGCCTTCAGATCCGCGCGACGGCATGGCGCGACAGAGGCATGGAGCTGCGGGCGACGGCGCCGCGGTAAGGGCTCAGCGTGGCGGCCCGGAGGGCCTGGTGGTCGTGGCATGCGGCGCCAGTGTGGCCTGGGTGTCGACACCCTGCTCGGGTGCCTAGATCTGGGGACCTCCTTCCCCGATATATGGCTCTAGGCAGGCATCAAGGAGGGGGCTTGGCCGGGTTGCTCCTTGGTGGTGGAGGCGCAGCCGGGGGGCTGGCAGCTTGGTGCATAGGGTGCCGGTCAGCGTGAAGGAGCCATCGGTGTTGCTGCCTAGTATGTTCGCGGTGCGGCGCAGCGATGGGCGTGCGACCAGATCTTGGCTAGCCCAGACTTGATGATGGCGCGACGCTAGCGGCAGGAGATCCGACTGTTGGCGTGGCACACGAAGGTGGTTGGTCAGGTTGGTTGGCCGGTCCTTGGCTTTGGATGTTTGAGGCTGCCAGTGAAAACCGCCATTCGGCTGTGGCCGGAGTCATCATCCTCCTTTCCATCATGCTCCAGGGGAAACCCTAGATCTGTTCTCCCAGATCGACAATGATGAAGCTCAGATCTCCCTCTTGGGGCATTGTTTTGGAGTTGGATCTAGTCAGAGGGACCCGTGGCTCGTGGGTGGAGCAGATGCATGCCGGTCGTCGAGGTTGGGCAACTTGAGCACCCTTCACATGCGAGGAGCGCCAGATGAGTCATGTTGGTCGTTTCTCGTGGGATTGGAGCGGCATATGTCCGCGTCCTTTCAAGCATGTCGTCCCTCTCCAGTGTCGACGTGGTTGATGAATCTGCTCATGGCAGACTGGACTGATGCGATAGTTTCGGTGTGCACTCTGGTAGCGAGCGACGCTCGAGTGCCCGACTATGTGTGTTGTGAGTTGTCCGCCTTGCTGGCGTCTTGTATGTATTGTGCTGCTTTAGGCCTAGGTTGCTAGGTGTGGCTTGCCATTGTTCAGGTTTTCGCCCGGCTTTAATAAACCGAGCAATTCAGGTTCTTGTACCATCTTCGTCTTTACAATGAATATAACAGCTCTTCTGTTATTGTTCAAAAAAAACAAGTCCACTTTTCTCAAGCATAGGAGCATGCTTGAAAACTTTCTTCTAGTACATCAGGTGGCGAGGAGACTGCATGCGAGGAAATGCAAAGGCGCAATGTTGAAATTAGATATCTCTTGAGTTTATGACTACCTCTGGTGGCTGTTTGAAGTTCTATGACAGAAGGGTTTCTTCGCGAGTTTTTTGTTTTGGTAAAGAGCCCCCTCCCCCCTGCGTTCCATTTCAGTAAGAAAAGGAACCTCAAAACGAATTCCTTACAACCCCAACAATATATGTCTCCAGAACCCAGCAAACTAGCTCTCATACAGACTATCAAGATTACATGAGTTTTAAACCCTAAAGAAGGCACACGGGCCGGCAGAGACATCAACGATACCCATAGAACACCACATGGATAGAATCTTCCTCCTCGGGATGTTTTTGTCGGTATTCCAGTGTGGTTCTTCCTCCATGTGTTGCCTTCCCCACCGCCTCCTTCCACGACACAACTCCAAGCCACCTTTTACAATGAGTTAGTCTGGTCCCAGTGCAAAAGGTCTTTTCACCTCATCCAGGGCAAGGTCTGAAACTCCATTAGGGCCCCCCTTGCATTTCCTTGAAAGGGTTTTTCTAGTCCCTCAGATACCAAGAGACCAGTCCGAGTACCTGTTTCATAGATACCCAAGTAACCTTATTAAAAACAATAGAATTCCTAAAATTCTGTAGCCCCCACGGGACCGCAGAAAGTGACTACATTAAGATGAAGACATCTCTTATTACAGAGCCGTAACTTTGCAACTAACTCTTTTTTTTCCTGAGTTTATCATAGGTCATGATTTTATTTTGCGAAAAGTGGCGTCGAAATTCTTGGACCCTTTGGGGAACCTTGACACTCCACACAGCACAGCAGGTAGTAGATACAAAGGTTGAACCCCTCTAAAATTAATAGCAGCATACAAGGATTTTAGAAGAGTAAACCCCTCTACTTTTTCGTCGTCTCTAAAGGTACCGAATCTAAGAGTATTAAAATCAGGTCAAACCATTGGATCATCAACTCATCATAAAAAGTTGTCCTAAAAGTGCGTCTATTCTAAACCCATAGGGCGAAAAGTAGACAAAAGTTGGCATCATCATCACAGAGGAAAAAGAAAGGAGTTTACTCGACCATGGTCACCGTTGTAGGAACCGCCCGAGATTTGAGAAAAGAGTATCGTTTTCTTTAATTCGGTAAGCATTTATTCGCACAATCACATTAGTTTAGGCAGGTAAATAACGGGCCCGTCGCAACCCACGCGCATTGTCCTAATAGTTAATTAAGAGAGGGGAAAAAAAGGCTGGTATTTATTTATGTGATAAAAGGAGGGAGCCAAAATGGGCATGCTATTAACTCTAGCCTAAGCAAGACACGGTGCTGAATCAATCATCAAGAAAGTAAGTAGAAGAGAAACCGCGTGGCAAGAGAGAGAGAGAGAGAGAGAGGGGAAGAAAAGAAGAGAATGGAAAGTGTTAAATAAATAAATAGATAAAATTAGAGAATGGAAAGCGGTGGTCAAGCTGATAAAAGTCCGTCCTTTTTCCTCTGCTCAGTAGAGTAGAGTGGACGAGTGGAATCCAGTCCAGCTACGGAGGCAGCAAGATCACGGGTGGGTGGGTGGGTGAGAGGGAGGGAGGACAAGGGGAATTTTTGGTTTAGGAAAGAATTTAGTCACTGTTCATCTCGTCTCATGCTTGTTTCTCTTTCCGTCCGCGGTTACCTTCCCCTTCCCTGCATCCCCGCCGCCTTCAATGCCACCACCGCTCTTTCACTGCTGGATCTGATCTCCTGAGAGAGCTACCTTGTTCCAGCTGTTTCTTCTTCTTCCTCCTCCGGAATTCGGTGCGAATCCATCCGTGCGGGGATCTTTTGCTCCACCCGGGTTCGGGTTTCTTCTTGCCATTTCCTCCCCCGTTTCTTGAGGCAGTAGGAGGAGGAGGGGAAAGAATTTCCGCGCGAATCAGTCCGCGGATTTCCTTTCTCCCCGCCGGATTCGGTGCATGGAACAACCACCTTCCGTATCCAACACCAACAACAAGGCACTGCTGCTGCTGTGCTAGGCTAGGCTAGCCTCCAATCATGGCCTCCTCGCCCTCCCCCTCGCCGGGGGCCACCAAGGCCTCCCCGGCCGCCTCCGTCGCGCCCGCCACCGCCTCCCCGGCCCCGGTCAAGCTGCCCAACGACACCCCGGCCGACCCGCCGGCGGCCCCTCCCGCGCCCTCCGCGGCC